CGCACTAGTCAATATGAGGCTAACATTCAGAGAATAAACAAACAAAACCAATCAGGGAAGTTTTGAAAAACAGGCTCAATGAGAAGAAATTACCAAGAACCAGAGAGTAAACCACTGAAAAGCTACTGCAATTTCTGAGAAAACAAATGCAGAGTGTAGAGGGGCTGCCACCACCCGATCTGGTGGGCTTGGCGTGCACACGGCGGCCGCGACATCACCAGCACGCGCACCGGAGGCCAAGTACAGCAACATGCGCACTCCCAACGCGAAATGCTCTGCATCAGAGGATTCAGACAGTTTCGGATACAGCACCCGCCCTGCATCTCATGGACTTACAATCACTTCAGCACAAGTGTGGGGAGTGAAAACAAAATTAGTACAAGATTTTTCATGAACTAGTTCAAACTAGTCAAGTTTTCTTCAGAAGGTTGAGAATATTTTCAGCTGTAGAAATTAAACAAGTACCTAAACCTCACTTTGGGCTCAAATTTACTGGTCATAATAAAATCGAGAAGAACCACCTCGACCTCTCCCTAGATGAACTTCCACGCTGACCTTCACTCTAGACAACCAGAGACATGTGCTGTGGGTTGGAAATTCCATGCAACTCCACTGCTGCCAACAATGTACAGTGACTTACTTCCAAACACCTCCCCAAAGCCCCAAGAAAGAAAAGTAGCTTAACCATCACCTCATTTGATTTGACAACAGCCTTCTGAGGAAGGACCAGTTTTGTTTTTAGTTAAGCCAAGCCCAGGGAGGCCAAAGCTGGTAAATGGGAGTCAGAGCTTAAGTCCTTTGTCTCCAAATCCAATGACCCCTATTTTTAAAATCCCCATTTAATTACATAGCCACATTAAAGACTGAACTTAGGGGCACAAAGGTTTCACTGTCAGTCTGACATGCCAAAATCCCAAAACCATCATTTCTACTCTCCTCTGACTTCCTCAGCACCTTCACGCTGCTGTGCCACCAGACACCACGTGATAACGCCCTCCCAACTCCTCCATGATGTGTCCATGAATACACACACACAGCTTGTACCATCTCACAACAAGGCTTGCTCTATACCCAAGCGGACTATAGACATCTCAATACCTTGGCTGTCTTTCTATCTTTGTGCTTTTGATGCCTTGTATGGTGCTGAGCACGGAAGGCAAGGCTGAACAAGTGAGGAAGCGGCCCAGTGCCAGTTAACAGAGAATCTTTAAAGAGTCACAAATATTTCAATCTATGAGACCCTAAGGCAGAATTCTAGAAATTAGTATTTTTCAGAAACCTAAGAGACCCTCGCTTTTTGTGGGCTTGGCAATATCCACAAAGGGCCAAGATATACATATATAGTAATTTACAACTTTGCTGAGGCAAGAAGTTTGACTAGCACACCTGGAAAGGCTAGGGCAGGACAGCAACTCACAACCCAGTGAGGGAATGAACCCCATCAAACTCCCCAGAATCTGCACCTCCATTTTCTACTGGGTTCTTGAAGTGATTTAGAATACTTTATTTGTAGAAATCACCATCAAGTGGGAGGCAATTTTCATGTAAAGTCTTTCAGAGGCACTTGAGTCAATGTGACCAAGGACAAAGCCAGAGCCCTGTCAAATGCTTCTGCACTCAAGAATTTGGGTGATTACTAAAGGGCTGTTTCTGAATAGCTCCATCTATTCCTCATGAATAAAGGTCTACAGTGTATTGTATGCGGCACCTTAAACACAAGCGCAATGGCACAAAGTAACATACACTAGACCACATCGTCAGGCCAGTTCACTTTGCCTTGTTCATAACAGATGCATTACACATTCAATCCGAAATTTAAAATGAAAAAAGTTAAAACTGCAGTAACTTTTCTTTCAAGAAAAGCTCGCCTGGATACCCAACGTGTAAAACAAATCAACAGAGCAGCTCTGAAGACTGAAGCCTTGTCCACCCACCACCCATGAAAAGAGTTTCACAGTAAAAATAAGCTGCCTTCAATCTTCTGGTCCAGTGCCCTATCTTCACAAACAAGGAAACTAGGAGGCAGAGGCAACAAGACTACATAAGGCTACAGTGCTCGTCAATGGTCAGAGTGGGACCAAATCTGACTCCTGCATTGCTTTGGCAGCACCTGCCTTTTGGTCTACCAAACCAGCCAGCTCTATGAACTCAGCCAGGCCACCTAACAACTTCACCTTATGTTCAGTGTTGCTCCAGGAAACTCAAACACATCTAACCTATATTTTGTACCCAATATACATTTCTGAATAAAACAAATGTAAAGGAAATTACCTCATGTTCTTTCTCTTGTAGCAAAAGAACAATGTCTCCTGGTTCCACTCCGGGGGCCTGGTCGGCTTCCCCAGTGAACGTAATTCTCTGGCCATGTTTCATGCCTTTGTCTACGTGGACTTCGAGAATCTTGACTTCTTTGATCACCTTCTTCCCCTCACATTTTTTACAGCGGTCCTTTTCATTAATGACCTCTCCTGGAAAGAGAGAGTTCATTCCAACTTCCAGCAAGACTACCTGACTGCACTCTTGCTAATGCCTTTACTCATTAAACACATTTTCTGAACTTGCTTTAACAGCTACCCAAAGTTTTGTTTAAAGTATCATTATTAGTAACAAAACCTCACATCTTACTACTGGTTACCTGAGGGTCTGAGTTACCTGTCTCCTCTATTTCAGAGCATAATGTATCTTAAAATACTTTTTTGGCTACTAACTCGAGTTCCTAAAGCAAAAACAAAGCCTAAGGATCATGGAAACAAAATGGGTTGTCAGATGCTAAACTTCTACAATTGCTTCTTCATTTTTTGTTTTCAGTCCTAGTTTCATGAGTTTAACAATGAACAGAGAACCCAAATAAAAATTCAAATATATTTTATGGCTCATTATTACACTGCACAGTTGGCAGTGGGTTTTATTTACTATGGATCTCCCTTTATTTAGGTTCACTATCATTGACAATTTCCGACACCAGTTAGAGATGGCTGGATGCAGCTGGCGTTGAGTACCTCCACACCATGTTCAGGACAACACAGCTTCTTTTCTCCCCTACGCATTTTTCTGAAACATTTGATTAGTGTTTAGTAAAGTTGAAGCTGTACATAGTAAATTGTGAAAAAATAGCGTCATTTTCTAATGGCTAGTTATTGGCACACTTTAATACTTAGAGGACATGTATAATCAGTAACTCCCGAGTCTGCTTCTAGAACACCGACTTTAAAGTATGTTCTGTAAAATACCAGTTCCTCAAAATGGCAATGGTACCTGGGAAGATTTGTCAACTTTGGTTTCTTGATAGTGGAACTGTCAGCAACTATGACTAGGTAAAATGTACTGAGACCCTCTAGCAGGGGAATGCAACACACAGCTTCTCCAAGTTCTCTCACAACTCCCAGAAGCAATTTGGAAAAGGATTTTTTAAACTCTGCTACCCAGTACGGTAGCCACTAGCTACCAGTGGCTATTTAAGTTTAAATTAAGTTATTAAAAATGTAGTTCCTCAGTCACACTAGCCACATTTCAAGTACTCAGTAACCACAGGAGGCTAATGATTACTGTTCTAGATGCTGCATTTATAGAACATTCCAGTAATCGCAAATAAATTGTTTTGGATAGCACTGCTCTAAGGCGCGCAGGCCCAGCTGGGCTTTCCCTTGTTACCCGGAAGACAGCCACGCCCAGTGGTTCCCAGATCATCTCTGGGACCAGAGCACTAAAGGGCGAGATGAGCAGCAGTTTCTGAACCACTCGCAAAGCTTCAAACATTTGCTTCCGTGAGAAGAGGTTCAATCCTAGGATCTAGCCTCAGGAACTAACTAAAGCTTACAGTAAAACCCTCCTATCAGAATGGTAACTAAACAATTTGCTATTACCCTCTTTATTACATATCACCTTCTAAATCTGAAGGGACGAAACACTTTGTCCATCTGTGTTCACTGGGCCTATGCATGATGGAATAATTACTTTCACACTTCCCTAGCTTTTCTTTAATAAGATGATACAAACCCACTAAGAAACGGTATGCCTCCCATCCAGTCCAGCCTGGAAGCTGGAGCACCGGGGCACATACCTTCTCCATTGCAGTCGGAACACACAGACTGCATCTGCTGCACCATCCCCGGAGCCAGCTGTCTGATCATGATGCGAACACCTCGACCCCGACAGGCACTACACTTCTGAACAGCCCCTGACTTTCCACCTTGGCTAAAGCAAGCAAAACAATCAATTNACACCTCGACCCCGACAGGCACTACACTTCTGAACAGCCCCTGACTTTCCACCTTGGCTAAAGCAAGCAAAAGAATCAATTAGAGCCTGGCTGGGCGTGGCTCAGTGGTTGAGCATCGACCTAGGATCCAGATCGGGGTTCGATTCCCAGTCAGGGCACATGCCCGGGTTGTGGGCTAGGCAGCCGATCAACAACTCTCTCATCATTGATGTTTCTATCTCTCTCTCTCCCCCTCCTTTCCTCTCTCTGAAATCAATAAAGATATGTTTAAAAAAAAAGAAAAGAATCAATTAGATTTTTGCCCACAGACCATTCCAACAGACTCAGACAAACAGAAACTGCTTTTTCACTTGCATCTTCAACCCCTCAATGACTGCTAATCAAACAGACTTTCAGGGAGATTAAAAAATGTTCTGTTGGGTAGTGAGTTTTAAATCATGAATAATTTTTATCTGGTACAGACTTAATGTGCCACTGAAAGAACAGATGACATTTATTTCATAAACCAGAACACACACTTACCCGCTGCACGCACTGCAGAGTACATTCTTGCTAAGCTGCAGTTTGGTTGTCTTGCCATTATACAGATCTTCTAAAGATACTCTGGGGAGAAAAGAATTAGGGTCAATAAAATGTTGCCAAATTCTCTTTACATACAGATATATATGACAGCTGAAACAACAAATTCCACTATAAACCTTTTCAAACAAAACAATTAAAAAAACCTTACATTAAGCCAACTGACTGAGGTTTTATTTTGTGACTCAAATTATCAGAAAGATTTTATGGCTATGGACAGTACAGATGGTGCCTAAAGCCAGTACCTACAGGGTTAGACCAACAGTTTGCTGTGCCTGCATTTTCTGATAAAGATGATAACTGCACAAACTCAAGTACCACAACCTTCTCTGGCCTCAGGCAGGAGCCCTGCACCTAACCCAACCCTCTGAAGGAGGAATCCCCATTTTACAACAGGCACAGAGAGGTTAAGTCCATGCTCCATTACAAGGCTCTGTTCCCTTCAAGGACAATTTAGAAAAGCTACAAAGTCATATTGTAACTTACGGGAGGCACTCAGAGTGCATGTCTCAAAAAAGAAAAAAGTGGCCTTATCTACAGTGGGACAAGGAGGAGGGAAGAACAGGTTTTTAACAGAGCCTACAGAGTCTTAAAGCTCTAAACAACCCAGTGAATTAAAAGCAAAATTGTATAAACAGCTTTTACCAATTTTTCAAAGAGGTTTATGACCCAAAAAGATGGCGTTAAAAAGTCTATTAAAAAATATACGACTGATAAAACCCAACTTGCCTTTATTCACACAGCATACATGATTTGCAGGACCATTTGTTTCCAAAGTAACCTCAAAAGACGTGTGTATATCAAGTCTGAAACTACTCTTCATGCATTCAGTTTGGTTTTACCCTTCCAACTGTGTATTTATTTATTTATTTTTAATTTTTTCTTTTTATATATATCTTTGATTTCAGAGAGAGGAAAGGAGAGAGATAGAAACACCCATGATTAGAGAGTCATTGGGGATAGAGCCCTCAACCCGGGTACGTGCCCTGACCAGGAATCGAACCTCGATCTCCTGGATCCTAGGTCGATGCTCAACCGCTGAGCCACGCCTGGCCGGGCCCAACTGTGTTTTTAAATCTTCAGTAGTACAGATTTACTTTTAAAATAGAGGAACAAAAAATAGGTGGAAGTATTTTGCAAAGAACAGCCTTTTGCGGTATTCAAACTTTCTCAAAATTGTTATCTGAAGCTAAAACTTTACACATTCTAGGCAGTAAAAGTATAAAGCACTTATGGACAACCATAAGCACTTCCAAGTAATGCCATATCTACAGCTTCATTGGACAAAATCACCTGGTTGCACCTGTCTTCTGTATTTCATAAAAACCTTTAACCAAATCATTTACAGAAAACAAACAGGTAAGTCTTTCCCTTACATATTAAATTATAATTAGTATACAAAACCATGACCTAAGAGGCCAGAAAAATCCTCATTTCAACAAACATGGCCAAAAAAGAAAAAATGTGGGTAACGGTCTGCGAAGCTGGAACTCCCCACCAGTGGGGCTAAACTGGCACAATTTCTACAAGGAAAGTGAGTTGTATTTATCTGCCTCAAGACACTGCTACCTGCCTGGGAATCTCTGCCAAGGAAAGACAAAGCTGCATATAGATACAGCAGGACTACTGATTACAAAAAAAAATTGCAGCATCCTACAGGGAAGGTGAATGATTACATAGTCATGGAATGGAATACTATAACGCCACCCAAAATGAGATGTCATAACAGGGAAATTTTAAATAATGTTAAAAGAAAACTGCAGGAAATAAAACTGCATTTGCTGTATAGTATGGAACAAAATTTAAAGGAGATATGAAGAACCATAAGGTACAGCAAACACTCTCATTTTTATTTACTTCTTAGACCATTTCTTTGTCAAAGAAAAACATGAAAAAACTAATCTATACTCCACAAGTATTACTCTTATAATGATATCCTAAAGATAATTTAATTCTGAGGGTAAATTATTTTAAAATGCATATTTAAGAATGAGGCTCGAACAATGTAACAGATTATGCTTTATTTCCTGTAATCTACCCAAATGAATAGATTTTCTGAAATATTTTAAATACTTGAAATTCAGTCTCTGGCACTTGCTCATAAAACCATTACTAGTTTATGGAAAGTTAACAGGGCACAAGATCTCACAAATTTTACAAAGTAAAAAAGCTAGTTTCAAATTGTAGCAGGCTCATGAGTTCCCAGGCTAAGATCAAGGTCAGACACCATTCATATGTTGGCAGGTTAATGTCAAGCTCCATGGAAACCAATTTAGGAGAGTTCTCACTGAGGATCAAATAATGAGTGACTACAACATGTAAACAAACCAGCCAGGCAGTCACTCTGTTTGTAAGTTTTTAAATAAAAGTAACTTGGAAAATTTAAATACTTCAAAGAGAATCTTCATAATTGAACATTTAAATCATATAGTATGCTCCAGGAGCATATTAACAATACCATCTTCCTACTCAGTGAAAACCACCACCATCATTTAAGATTTGTAGCAAAATGCAAATATCCACGTTATCAAATTCAACTTAGACACCCAATGAGGATAGTAAGGCTAAGGGAAGATTTTATTTTCTGATGAAGGATAAACTTTTTTTGATACCTTTTTTCTCCTACTGAGTACTACTACTTGAAGAAAAAAAAAAAGTACTTAATTTAAAAAAAAAGATATTCACTTGAGTGGATGCATCATGTCTTCTCCTCTTCTTCTGCCATTTCGACTTCTACTCTGATTGCCCATGAAGCCAAACAGTCCCCCACCGAAAATGTGGGAGAAAATATCATCCATGCCACCACCTCCGCCACTGCCTTCCCGAAGACCTTGCTCGCCATAGCGGTCATATAACTCTCGTTTCTCAGGGTTTGATAGCACTTCATATGCAAAACTTATTTCTTTGAACTATAAAGAAAAAAGAAAAACAATTGGATTTTCAAACAGAAGAGTGGGGAAAGGCTACAGGAATAAAGAATCCACTTAATTCTGAAAGCTTCAAGTTGCCTTTGGTTTGATTCTGGTCCTATTTATTACCTGCCTCTACCCAGAATGTTAGTACTCCTGTTACAAAACCAAAAATTTTTTTCCCCAATTTTTAATATATCTTTATTAGTTTCAGAGAGAGAGAGAGAGAGATAGAAGCATCAATGATGAGAGAGAGAGTCATTGAGCAGCTGCCTCCTGCACGTCCTCAACTGGGTATCGAGCAACCCGGGCATGTGACCTGACTGGGAATTGAACTGCAATCTCCTGGATTCTAGGTTGATACTCAACCACTGAGCCACGCCTGGCCGGGCAAAACCAAAATATTCTTAACATAAAAACTTGGCTCATGGGCATAAATGGACTTTTCTTACAACATTCCTTTTATCAAGGAGGGCAACTTAAGTTTAAAACTGAAACCTCAGGGGAAAAAAAAGTCCCAAATAACTTACTTTGTCACCAGCGTTCGGATTCTTATCAGGATGGTATTCCTTGGCTAACTTTCTGTATGCCTTCAACAAAGGATAAAAAAAGGGGGAGTTATAGGCAAAGATGGTTTAAAAATGTGAGTACTAACTTAACCATTTTTCTGCAGAGCAATGTTCTAAAATCATAATCTTCCCCAAACAGCTTTTATTCACTGGGATTGTTGGCATTTTCCATCTTAATACTTGTTCACTCACTAATTTAATACAATAAAGCAGAGAGCAGTTACACTTGAAAACAGGTTCCACTGAAGCCAGGTACAAACAATGAGACGAAGCCGCCGAAAAAAAAAAAACCCAAAATATTGAAAACTCTTTATTTTCACTATTATCAAATGTCTTTGATGGCCAGTAACCGGGTCAAGAAGACTCCAATAAACGCTAAAAAGAAATGCTTGTTAAGCTTTACAAACGGCAAGACATTATTACCAAATATCAGGCCAAGGTAAGAATCCCTGCTCACGATGGCTCCTCTAATTATAACATCAGGAAAAAGACAAGAGGAGCTCCCAGGTAGTGTTTTATTTTCATACGGGAGACTAACTCGGGGTCTTAGTAACCGGGTGACTCTCAGTCTAAGTGAAGGTGCGTAAACCGAGGCGGCGGAGCTGCACTGCCGGTCTCCATTCACAGGCCCGTGAATTACATAATGGACCGGCATTTCCGGTAAGCTAACAGGAAGTCCCTTTGACTCTCGGCTCTCCCCGAGCCGCCGCTTAAGGAGCAGTCTCGTTTTCTCCGCTCGCAAGTCCGGACACTCGGGGCCCCGTGCAGACGCCGTGGGGTGTCACCGAGTGCCTCGAGCGCTCTGAAAGCCCGCGCAGGGCTCGCAGCACTGCGCGGCGCGATAACGAGGCCTCCTATTTATTTTTAGTCGGCGGACACTCAGGTGTTTGGCTGGGACCCACGCGTCCTCCTGAAGCGGGTGCTGCACCACCAGGGTACCTGCCCGGACAATGCGCCCAGCCCCAGCCCCAGCCGCGCGGTCACGCGGAAGGGAGGAAGCAAGGGCGGAAGCAAGGGCGGAGCGGCCGCGGCCCCAGGAAACAGCCCACCTGCCCCGCGACCCTCCCTCCCG